TTCGAAAACTACCTACAAAGTTAAAATAAAAGCGAGTTGATGTAATTTAGGAGATCCATTTATTTTCTAAGCTAGACGTATATCATCAGTTCACGTCCAGTCGCCAAATAATTATGATAATTACAGCTTGAATTTCGCTTCCCCTAGCAGTTGCGCCGCTACTAATCAACGAGGTTGCAATTCCTGCACCGTGCCCGGCGCTTCCAAACAAACAAAAAACTTTTTCCCAACACAACGCGAGCTGGTGAATAAATGAAAACGAAGGACTACTGGTTTTTAGCTTTTGTCTGTTGTTCAAATGAGTGTGTGTTCGAAAATCAGTTTGGAGAACAAAACGATTCAACCCGCCAGCTTTAGCAACCCCTCTGACTGCTGCTGTTATAAACCCCCTACACCCACACCACACGTCTGTGTTTTTTATATTCTTTGTGATTAGTCCGCAGCATTTTACTCTTTTCGCGCATGACTTTTGTAACTGGACGCTTCAATCTGTAATTTTAAAACACGCAAATGTAAGTATTGATTTTTAATAAAATTCATTTTTTCGGTTAGCAACCCGTTCCACCAATCCCAATCAAATTCTCCTACAGGAAATTAATGAATATTAGGTAATTAGCAGAAAATGGCATTTGCCCCTGCAAAAGTCATCGTTTATTATTAAATCACTCAACCACCCCCCCCACTATGTCAAAAACTGGATATCTTATTGACACTTAAAACATCGATACTTAAGTCGAGTAGGTAATCACAATGAAATTATTTAAGACTAATTAGTGTCGGAACATAACAAACTTTCGAAGTATAACTTCTAAAGAAACGCGCACGGAAATCTCTACATAACACAGCAATTTGTCTCGGGGTCGAATACCTCCCATCATGTTACCACTTCGAGATGATCCAAGATCGCGTTACTAACAAAGAAAGTAAGCGACCTTTGTACCAGACCAAAATTTAAGCTAGTTGATCAAAGGAGAGTAGTTCTTAATGACCACAGTCAATTAACTCGAAATGTGCTCGCGATTCATTATCAACGATAATTCTTCTACGAGGACGAAAGAAGGTAACAAAATAATATTGTTTCTTATGAATTCCCGCTTAATCCCGAAAATTCCCACTCTTACATTACTTTCAGGATTACTTCCCAATTTCCGACGTTGACTAAATTTTACCGTTGTCTCGAAAATTCCGATTTTAAATCAGAATTTCTGACCTCTGACCTATATAGGCACGCTGGTAAAATAAAAGGTGTTCAAATTGTGGAGGTATGAAAGAACTTGCGTAAATGGAGTCTTCTGATGCTTTCTTACGGAAAACACGATCGCGTAAAACCGAAAGGAGAAAAGATAAATTGGACCAAATTTCCCAGACAAAAAACTTTGCAATAACTATTTTTAATTACACATAATGCTTTTTGAACTAGGCGTAAAGGAATATAATTTTGTAATTGGATGTATATAATGTATATTGAATTTTGTAGACGTATTATTTGTTGTACCTATGTTTAAATTTAGAATAGGGAGAATGAAGGATTAGAAATGCAGATGCCTAAGAAGTTTGATGTCAGCAGGGATGTCAGTTATAGAAGTGTGCACCATGTGAATTTTCTGAAATCACATGAAAGCACATTTGGGACCAAGAATAAATGAAGATCGCTTAATTGAATCATTAGTAGATCATTTCCCCGGAGACATCCAGATGGTACTATACGCAGCCCAAGCAAAAACCATAAAGGAGTTATTTGAAATTTTGGAAAAAATTCAAGAAAATAGTCGAGATTGGAGAAGAGATTCAAACAGGACAGTACCAAGAGATCAAGATCAACGTAATTATCAAAGTCGGAACCGAAAAAATCAAGAGAGAAGACAAAATAGACAACATTATGAAAAACGAGATTAAGATCAAAGAAATTATCAAAACCGAAACGATCATCAGCAAAATAACAGAAACCATGAAAACCAAGACAGAAGAAACCACAGACAAGTAAATGCTGTACAGTACAGGGGAGATCAAGAACAGAGTCCACTCAGGAGATGGAACCACAATGACAGAAATTATAAAGAAAGAGACAGATAAGAAGAAAGGGGTCCACATAGGCAAGATATGGAAAGAGAAGTTCGGGGAAACGAGTAGTAGCCGGATCAACAGGTCCACCACAGATTTCTTTACCTATATCTGTGATTCCGCTGATTCAGCAACAACGAAAGGAACAAAATAGTCATATAAATTTTGTAAAAAGCTTTATTCATTAACCAAATTCACTAATTCTAAGCAACCAAATACGTCAAATAACCAAAATGAAGAAATCTACATCGTAGCTGGATTGCTTGAGGGGGTCAAGCGAGTTTCTTTGGAGAATACCGGCAGTTAAATTAAGATAGTACTTGGAGGATCAGTTAGCTATAGACGACCAGGAATTGAAGAATCAGAAGTTGAAGGGACCACGGGAAATGCAGAAGAAGGAAATGTAACTTGACTAATTACCACCATGGATTCCCACCAAGATATTGACTAATTCAAGTCCTACAACAAGTAAAGAAAGAAATTAAAGAAAATGAAGAAGAGGCTATAGAAAGTCAACCGATCCCTAAAAGAAGTGTGGAGGGGGTGGAGAAGCAAAGTAAAGAACGCAAAATGTGACAATGAAGAGAGGAACAAGATAATGAAACGTAAATGTTGGATTCAAGAAATATGGAAACAAAGGCTAGAAGAAGGAGAGTACTATTTATTATCGGGAATACTTGTAGAAGATAAAGTAAAATCTACTCGAGTATGCTATAAACAGCGAGCGTCAATTGCATGCAGTGTAACGTGGGCGTGCCGGAATGTTAGTAATTTTTGAGCTGATTCTATAACCGGTCCGTGCTTAGTTTACTTATGCGCTACTCCAGCGATTATTTTTAACGATTATTAAAGATCGCTATTAAGAATTTATTTTTGTTGTTCGGTTGAGTAGCGTTCCCAATTTTTCATAGTGCATTAACCTTAGTTCCATTTAGCATACATATAGTAAGTTCAGCCGTTTCTTGTTTGATATAAGGGCTGTCTGTAGAAATGTGACCTAATAGAACGTTTCAGAGATTTGTTTTTTTTCGTTTCATAAAAAGTTGGGGAAGAAAAGAGTAAGACAAGTTGTGCAATTAAGTGTTTTATTGTACGTGGGGGGTAGATCGTGGGTTAATATTTCCGAGTCGTCTTTGCCTAAAGAGCTCACGAGCTGATCTCCTGGTCATCTTTGGCGAAGGATTTGAATCAACGTGGGATTTCCGAGATGACTTTGAATACAGGCGATTGCGAAAAATATATGGGGCGAGAAATCGTGAGAAAAAAAAAGTATTGGAATTAATGCAATTGCGCATATTGCAAATATTTTAATTTGATTCATGTCTTAACTATTGCTACTACGGCACAGGTGATTTTTCAATCACAATTAATTTTACCCACGACTAGCTCTATAATAAAATTGATATATGCTTTACCTTGCGGCCCTTTAAAATTTGAAAATCAAAAACTTAGGGCTCTGACTTGACTGCATACTAGACGAATAAATACGAATTCTAAAATAAACAGTTGAATATATTGACAAACTAAAGCCGATTCAATTCTACTTTCCTTTACCCCTTTCCTAATTTAAAATATTGTTTGTTTCCTATAAATACGGCAAATACAGCCCCTACCCTTGTGTCAGTTCTAATTTCCCTTATCGAAACGTTTTACGCAGAATACACCCCTGGCTATTTTTTACATAAAATATTTACACACCCTGACTATTCGCGTAATTTTATACATGAATTTAACTAAACCCTAGTACAACTCAGATCCATACAATGGTTCCGTGATTCACAAAAGTTGGTTCGACCGACTTTATAATCTCCAGTAGACGTTTATATCGCCCATCTCTCTTAAAATCGTGCGATATGAGCGATCGTAAAAATTGAACGGAGAACTCGTATGCTATTGCGATCGAAGCTAAACTGAAGATCTCTCTTTTCTCTTTCTAATTTTCTATATGTAGTCTCCCAAGTAAAAAACCGAAATGGAACCAAAGCAAATGTCCCGATCAGGCCCGTATTTCAATCCCGTACACCCGTCTCCGAAGGATTATACGCAACCTCGCGGTTCATATTATTGCTTGATTATCGCTATACTCGCTTTCACTTTTTGTATGAAGCGGTACATATTTACCTATACCTAAATGAAATATAAATTCAAAAAATTTAAAACTGCAAAGGGAGCTACCATTACATTTGACAAAGAAAATAGTATTTGATAGAGATACCATGATTAGTTTTAGAGGAAATGGAACTTTCTTTATAAGCTTTCAAGCAGTGTTGCCAGATTTCAATTATATCGCTTTATTTCATTCTTGTACTCGAAAAGTTCATTAAATAATTTAAAGAAAGCAATTTTCACTAAAAAAAAAATTTTTTTTTCATAGAGATTCATAGAGATCATAGACATGTATTGCGTTGTTTCTATTTTATAGCCAAATAGTTTGGGGGGATGACAACGGTTTATCATTTTGGACACCGAAATAATTAAAAAAAATTGATTTGGTCCCAAAAACAAGATACTTTCGATTGGTGAATCAAAGAATCTTCTGGAACTGCTTGAAATGGTTTAAAACTACAGAAACTGTGGAATCGTCAGGAATTGCTTGGATCTACCAACATGGCGTAAGATGCGGAAACCGCAGGAGATCTAAAAAGTAACGGAGACTATGGGAAGTACAGGAAGTATAGCTGTAGTGAATAATTGTTTACGTAATGTTTTCTGAGAATAGATGAAAGCTGATATGTCCTTTAATTACCGTTGTCACAAACACACATAAGTAACAAATAACATTTATTATAATTAAAGTACACACTTAAAACGTTGCTGAATTGTCGAAGCCAAGATGGTTGGTTCAGTCGGCTGTGTCTCCCGTACGTACATTCTCTTAATACACTACAATTCTTCCCTTCTTAGATTAATTGTTGTACAAGAAATGAACTACAATACACTTAAGTACATTCAAAATCTTTGAAAATTTCTGGTTTCTTAATTTTCCTACCTGACCTACTAACTATTGCTTCTGGTATAGTTCCAGAATTGTTTCTGCTATAATTACTACCTATAGTTTCTGGTAAATTACCCGAATTGTTTGTAATTACATTTTCAACATGTGCATTTACTAAAGGAGTTATATTAGAATCTGCAACTGTTTGTTCGTCCTGAACATCGTCAATAATTTCCGTTTGAGGAGTGGAGGTTGAACTCTTTTCTTCTAATCGTTGGCTTGGTACTTTAGTTGTATGGTTTTCCGAGGTCTTCTCGATGTCGTGGTTCAGCTCTAACCCGAATTTCCGAATCTGATCCAGATGTCTTCGCCACGTCTGACCGTTTAGTAACATGCAAAGGTAATTTTTCTTCCCTAGCACTTGAGAAATTTTTGCTTTGATCCAGATAGTATTGTTTTTATCTCTGTAATCCTTAACCATAACTGTCTCCCCCTCTTGAAAGGTTTCATGTCTACCCGTTCCATTATTTTCCTTATTCTCCCTCCTCGGTTGAAGTAAGTTGAATAAAGTTCTAACATTTCTGCCTATCATGAGTTTCGATGGTGTTTCATTTGTGGCGCAATGCACAGAGTTCCTGTAGTTAAGTAAATATCGACTAACTACTAAACTAGGAGTGATATTATGTTTGTGAGTTAACAGTGCTGCCTTTAATGATTTCTTGAACGTTCGGACTGCGTTTTCGGCTGCTCCATTTGTAGATGGGTGATACGGTGCTGATGTAATCTGCCTTATCCCATTTTTTATGAGGAAGTTTTTGAATTCCGTCGACACAAATTGTGGTCCGTTATCAGAGACTATTGTTTCCGGTATTCCCCAAGTACTGAAAATGTCCCTGAATTTTTCAATTGTCTCTTCCGATGTCGTTCTTTCCATCTTCTTGATCTCTGGGTATTTGCTAAATGCATCTAATACTATTAGGAAGGTGTTTCCTTTAATAGGACCCAAAAAGTCCACGTGAATACGTTGCCACGGTCTTGTTGGTTTGTTCCAACTCATGATCTCTGATTTTTGTGGATTGTTTGCGATTGTCTGGCAAGGTATGCATGCTCGACACGTTTCTTCAATATCCTTATCCAGATTTGGCCAATAGAAGTATGCTCGGGCAATGGATTTCATTTTGACTATCCCCAGATGACTACTATGTAATTCGTCCAGCAATTGTTGTCTAAATTTTGTAGGTATTATTATTCTGTATCCCCACATGACGCATCCCTGCTCCAGAGTTAATTCTAATCTTTTTCTAAAATATGGTGTTAATGTTTGCTCCTCCACCTTGCTTGGCCAACCTACCGATAGGTAATTATACACCTTAGAAAGTACCACATCTTTTCTAGTTTCCAATGCTACTTTCTTGTAGTCTACCGGTAAGTTTTCGGATATGATCATATTTAGATGAGATGATTTTACATCTTGACCTTTGGAAATATAACAAATATCAACAGGATGCCTACTGAGCATGTCTGCTACATTATTATTTTCGCCTTTAATATATTCCAGCTTATATGAAAATCCCGAAAGAAATGCTGACCAACGTTGAAGTCTTGAAGCTGCCATCTGTGGAATTCCCTTGGTTTCGCCTAGGATTGACACTAGCGGACGATGATCCGTTTGGATTGTAAACTGTTGTCCCATCAAATACTGATATAGTTTCTTGACTGACCAGTAAATTGCCAGAGACTCCTTATCTAAAACCGAATAATTTTTTTCTGCCGGCATCAACGATCTCGAAATGAACGCCACTGGCTTCAAAATTCCATTTTTATTTTTGTTAAATAATGCTCCTGCTATGCCGTCTTGACTCGCATCTGTTTGTACAACTATGGGTAAGTTAGGATCAAAGTGAGCTAATATTTGATCAGACGCAATAATACTTTTGATTTCTTTGAATGATTTTTCACAATTAGACGTCCATTTATATTTTTGATTTTGCTTCAATAGGTCATATATAGGTCGCATTAATATTGCTAATTTAGGTACAAATTTGCTATAATAGTTAACCATACCTGCAAAACTTTTTACTTGGGTAATCGTTGAAGGTCTGGGTGCTTCAATGATCGCTCGTTGTTTTTCCAGGTTTTTCTTTATACCATACTTTGAAATTGTGAAACCTAAATAGCTGACTTCTTCCTGAAAGAATGCACATTTAGTTTTGTTTAGCTTAAACCCTGCATCGTTCAGTTTTTTAAGAACTGCTTTTAGATTTTCTACGTGCTCTTTCCTAGTTGCTCCGGTTACAATGATATCGTCTAAGAAATTTGCCGTATTCTTAATGCCTTGCAGTAGTTGTTCTAGTACCTTTTGGAAAATTGAGCTGGCTGGCGTGATGCCGTAAGGTAACCTGTTCACCTTAAATAACCCCTTGTGTGTGGTCCAAGTTAAAATCATGGCTGATTCGTCATCTACGCTGATTTGGTTATACGCATAACTTAAATCTAACTTCGTAAACGATTCGCCCCCGCTTAATTCCATTAATATACTTTCTACGGAAGGTAATGGATATTGCACTTGTTTGAAATATCTATTAACGGTCAATCTGTAGTCTCCACAGAGCTTGAGTGAACCATCATTTTTGATTATCGGTACTAATGGAGTTCCCCACTCTGAAGTTTCTACTGGAGTGATAACTTGCTCCCTTTGAAGAGTATTTAGTTCATCCTCCACCCTCTTTTTAATTGCTAAAGGTAATTGTCTAGCTTTTAAAAAGACTGGTTGCATATTCTCTTTTAGTTGCAAGTGAACTTTTTTATAATTGTAACATCCTAACGAATTATTAAACACACGTTTAAATTCTGCACAAATATTTTCTGTCTCATTACTTATTGATAACACCTCAGCTGTTATTCTAAATTTAAATTTTTCCAAGAAATCTCTACCTAACAAGTTTTCTGAAGGCTGATTGCTTTTAATTATTTGAAAACTAAAATTTTTGCAAATAGTATTGTTATACTGCACATCACCTACTATATAACCTGCTGGTTTAATTTTACATCCTGAAAAACTTCTTAAAATGATGTTTGAATCATGCAAATCTAAATTTGATAGGTATTTTTTATACGTATCATAGTTTAAAACCGATACAGCTGCCCCTGAGTCCATTTGACATGATATTTTATGTTCATTAACAGAAATATGTATGTAAATTGGTTTGTCATTGTTAAAGTAAATATTATTTATTTCAACAGTCTCTGTATCAAAGTCCAACATGTTTTGTTTAATGTCTTTAAACTTACATACCTTTGATAAGTGTCCAATTTTATTACAGCTGTTGCACTTGTAGCTCGCATACCTGCATTGTTGCTGTCCGGTGTGAAGTCTTCCACAAGCTGTGCACTTCCATTTTCCCATTTTCTTCTCCACAGAGTTGCCTGATGGGGTCTGACGCTGCTGGAATACCTTCTGCCTCAGTTGAAACGGATTCGACTTCACTAAATTTACTGATTTATCTACTGCTAACAATGTTGCTTCTTTACTAAGGGCAATCTCCATTAGCTTCTCCAAAGTTACTTCGCCTGGCTTCTCCTCACACAACCTGTCCCTTATTTTCCCTTTTTGAAGACCGCAAACGAACTTATCCCGGAGGACTGATTTCAAATTGGTGCCAAATTCACAATTTGTTGCAAGATTATGAATCCTGGCGTACCATTTGTTCAGCGATTCGTTCGCCTCCTGCGCAGCAGCATAAAAATCGATGCGCTCCCTAAAGAGGCAAGTCGCCGGTGAAAAGTGAGCCTTTAATAGCTTACATAATTCTTCGTATGATTTCGACTTTGGTAAACTGGGGGTGCATAGATCCCTTAAGACTTTGTATGTATCTGAGCCAATTAGACTCAATAACGCCGCAACCTGTTTCTTGTCCGTCTGGGTGTCCCTTATGTTATTTACTTCAAAAAATTGCTCTAATTGTTCTTGATAAACAATCCACTCGTCTGACTTGACATCGAACTTATGCATGGACCCAATTAAAACCATTATTGTTGTCTTCTGATATAGCGATTCTCGTTACTTTTACAAACTGCCCTCGATGCGGTGCACGTGCAAGTTTCCAACCTCAAAAAATAGCACCCTTTTTTTTTCTCAATATGTATCCTCGTCGCCAATTGATATGTCCTTTAATTACCGTTGTCACAAACACACACAAGTAACAAATAATATTTATTATAATTAAAGTACACACTTAAAACGTTGCTGAATTGTCGAAGCCAAGATGGTTGGTTGAAATCGGCTGTGTCTCCCGTACGTACATTCTCTTAATACACTACAAAAGCTACAAAAAAACTACACCGGGATCTAGGACGAGATAGTCCTGCAATCGGAGATAAATTATTCATAGGCGAACAGTGCGTAAATTTTCACTCTGAACATGCAAATCTCCTATGTTTAATAGTTAAATATACAAGGCAAACACCCCTTATAATATGCAACCAATCTTACCTACTCTAATCTTTTTCAAATGTTTTTCCAGTAAACATCAATTTCTGAACTATTTATTAAATTAAGATTATTCATCGTATTCTTATCAAATGCGTACAAAAAAAATGGAAATGTTACAGATGTTTTAATAATCATAGGATTTATTTGCTGGTAAATATCACGTGACACAATTCACAATAGCATTTAAAAATCCCTTTCGGCTCTGCAGATCAGGTGTAGGTCTTTCCGCTATTTTGTTACAATATGTTCGTAATTTAGCTAGAAAATTTGAAATTTCACTCATGCCCGTATTGACTTCAACAATTCACAGCAATTGACTATGAAAACACCACATAACCAATTTGACAGTTAATAAATCGAATCTGCTAAACAAACGGCCGAATACGTATCTAAAATAACTATAAATTTCTTTTGTTTACACTGCTGCCAAATTTGTGTGTAAGGTAGGTTGCATAACCGTCAAGCATTTCAATGCATTGAGGAGATTTGTATATTCAGAGTTCACGCACTGTATAAAGTAATGGTAAACTCAAACAAATTCGTTTGAGGTTTGTTTTATATTAAAAATGAAGCTGGGATAATCTTGTAACAAATTCTTGAAAGGTAGTAGATTTTGTTCGCTAGGCCGTTTATCCTTCAGCTCCAAAAACTTTTAACACATTTTTTGTGACTAATTATTGTGAATATGCGTTTAATTAATTCCCGAAATGAATTTCTTGTGTCCATTTTAATAGCGAAATTCTTTTCGTGCGAGGAGCAATTAAGCGAGCAAATGGAATACTTGAAAATAAAGCGTTAATCTGACCCTTTGAGTACTTTGTAAAGTTAGCTACAATAACACAAGCAAGTACAGGGTTCGGGGTGCAAGACACCGTGAAATTACACTAGTGCGGGTTAGGGAATATCCCTCGGGCCGAACGGTCCAACATCCATCTCCCAGGTCACTAAAACGGACTAGCCGGACAGACCAAATAAACGTACAGCGGTACCAACATATCTTGTTTGACTGAACATTGTTGTTTAATGTTGGTTAGAATATCTATAATGAAATATTCAACCAGTAAATTGTGTAAATACCGAGAATTTAATCGCTATGTTAACTACAGTCATATCCTGCAACTTTAATACCTTTTGGGTTCAGAATGAAACTTTCTAGGTTAGATATTTCGTCCTGGATTTAGTAAGCGTGGGTCTTGTATGCGAAACTTTTTTTCGGAAATGGACCTACCACTCGGATGCCAATCCTTTTAATCTCGCTGTAAGCGACTGCTGAGTGCGATGAAAATGCAATTAAGAATCTTTAATTGATTTAGTTCGCGCCTAAGCTGCATATCAAAATTAATTCTGCCAGCCTTGGGTAACTGTCACGTAACGAATCTACAGCGCGTTCGCAATGACGACGCTCAATTATGGCCTCCAGAGATACGTCTCTGATATTTTTCTACAACTTTCACATTCACACCTAACAGCCAAGACAAGCGTCAGTGGCACGCGGTATGAAATCCTGGCAATAAATTGAAATTACGAATTCTCTCACAATAATTTCGTTAATCCATTTACTGAAAGTCTCACAAAAAAATTTGGGTGTATTTCCATTCCCCAAACATTCGCATTGAAATATTCTGCACTAGATAAAACAACTCTGTTTTATCAATCTCAATTCCCGAAAGCTCAAATTTGGATCTCTGTGTCGTTTTTCAAGATGTTCGTTCCCTTATCACATTGCTAGATGGAAGAGGTGAACTAATTCGAACGAGGGATAGGTATGTTAGAGGAACACGTTCGGGGAGACCAGCGACATGGGAAACTTACATGATCCATATAGAAAAATGGTGACACCTTCTAGAGTCGTAATTTAAATTAAATGATAAAATGAGTTGTAGACTTAAATTAAGCTCAGCAGTTTTGTCTACAACGGCAGCAGACGTGACTATTGTACGTTTGGCAATTTACAAAAAAGATTATTTGGAAGATTTTCATTTTCACCGATAAGGATAAGACACCATCTTTTGCTACCTTGCCCTTTCATCATAGAAAACTGGTGGAGTAGATCGATCAATTACATTTGGCTATTGAGAAGGTACATTAACTGCCCCGTCACAGGAGAAATCCTTCAGATATCTACTTACCTACCAGCGATTTATCTTTAATTAGTACAAGGATTATCGACTATACCGTGTCTAGAGCAAATTAGGCTCAGTTGTGTAACTTTGGAAGAACTGGCGGTATGAAAATATCCAAATCCAAATTTGATGCCCGCAATTGTATTTTCCTATTTCGAAATTTAACTATATATATATACCCTGTATACACCTAACCAATTTTTTTAAATAGGATCACAGTGGCTCACCCGGGTATTTTAAAGAGCCCGAAATATACCGGTCAAATCTACGGTCGAACGCAAGAGTTTTGTAAAACAAACAAATAAAGATGACTGTGTTTTAATGTCCTCACATATGTTAAGGAGAAGGAAAAGCGTCTAGCTTAGGCATTATTTGACACAAGAATCCACGAACTTTAATGGTTTTTCATTGACGAAGGTAACGTTACATCTATCGGTGGGGCACGAATAACCGATGTAACTGTCCGTTACATTGCAGCACTCTTCAAACGCTATTATTAATTTTCTCGCTTCTTCTTTCCAGTTTACCTTTCGTAGTGCTATTTTTCCCTCGTCTTAACTTTATTAAATTCAATATCTTATCTTCTTTTTTCTTCTACTTCTCTCATTTTTGTTTTGTTTCATGCGCTGGCATTTTTTTTTGCTATCTTTCCTTTTACTCTTGATTGAATTTGGGTTTGGAGCTTGGTGGTATTGATTAAAAAAAACCCGAAAAAGCATTGTCCACTGAACCTACGTGCAATTGATGCGATTATTCTGTATGGGGAAGCTATGTTAGTAGTGTAAAGGAAACTTGAAATAGTGACTGATCAACGATAATTCGTAGTTTATGCAGGACACACATCAAAATACATTATTCCAACCTCTGGTGTGCCACAAGGGTCAAACTTAGGTCCCTTTCTATTTTTGATATTTATCAACGATTTGCCAAAAATAATAAGTTCCAGAAAATTACTATTTGCTGATGATCTGAAAATTTTTGGAAAAATAACAAATGAATCTGATGGTGCTATACTTCAAAGTGACTTAGATAACATTCATGTTTGGTGTAGAGAAAATAAATTGCACTTGAACGTTTCTAAATGCAGGTATATTTTTTTTTCCCGAAAAGTAAAACCAATAAAGCATGAATACACTATTGGAGACACTGCACTAATTAGACACGTGTTGATAAAGCATTTAGGCATTTTATTTGATAGTATGTTAACTTTCACGCATCACATACATGATATATGGTGAAAAGATCCTTAAAAAGCTGGGATTCATTAGTAGATCTAATACGGATTTCATTAAATTGTCAACAATAAAGTCACTGTATACGTCCTTAGTGAGGTCTAAACTGGAATACGCGTCTGTAATATGGAATAGCGGCTATCAAAAATATATAGATGAAATTGAACAAGTACAAAGGCGTTTTGCAAAATATTTAATGTTTCAGTGTAATGGGCGTTAGCGTTACCCAGATCAAGGATACCCCCAAGAAATTATGTTACAAAGGTTCGACGTTATTACCACTTGCAATTCGGAGAAAGCGTATCACTTTTTTGTATAAGTTAATACAAAACGAAACGGACTGTGGTGAGCTGTTACAGTGTTTAAGTTTTTCCGTGCCTAGACTGTCGTCAAAGCATGTTTTTACATTTTACATACCGTTGGCGAAAACCAATATTGTAGAGAAAAATCTCCGATATACACCATGTGTAAAGACTATAATTTAATTTCGAATGCAAGCGATATTTTTTTAATGAAAGTTAAGTCTATTATTCAGTAAATTACAAATTAAAAGTCATATATTTTTTATATTGTAAATCACAGGTTATGATATCTTCTCTATATGTGTTCATTTTGATTTAAATTATTTAAGTATTTTTATTTTTATAAATTATGTGTTATTAAATTATCACTCTCTACTTGAATTTATTTAAATTAAATTTTGTCCTGTTATTTTTTTTAGTGCGAATGCGGGAAAATTCTTTCCCAAAGAGTTAGGTACAATATTTTTTGTAACGAATTGCGTACAAAAGGTCAAAATTAATTAAGTATTGTAAATTAGTTTTTTTAAAATCATGAGTTGGTAACACAATAATATGTTTGGTTGGTAACATAATTTTGTAACCACCCACTTATAATCGCACTGGTCACATTTAAAACTTGGCACATCTTGTGTTAATACATTTTTAGCGCATTTCCACAAAAATAAAAAAAAAATGCGCTATTGTGGCCACTTTGTCCGTCCGTCCGTCCGTCCGTCCGTCCGCTAACTTTGCGACGCTACTAGTTTTTTATCTTAAGAGCTATTGTTCTACTTTTTTCGCTATTTGGTTCGTTATGGTGTCGAGTCTTGTACCAAGGAAGGAATTTTTTCTGTGCCGCTTACAAAAAAAGTTATTGTAAAAAAAACAAAAAACCGTTTTTT